GCATCCCTGAGATTCCTCCTGAATTTCCAGCAGCCCGAGGAGATCCCAGACTGGGAACCAGCAGGGAAATCCAGGGAAAACTCTGAGTGGGCAGCAGGAATTCTTGGCTGCTGCAGGGATTGGGAAACAAATCCCAAATCCATGCAAAACCAGGGAGAAAATCCCAATTCCCACTTTACTGACAGCAAACAAGAGCGATCCCAGTCGTCCCCATGGAATTATTCCACTTGGAGCATGGAAAAGTCAGGGATCCCAAGGGATCAGCCGAGGGCCCAAACACAAAGCCAAGGGAAAGCTGAATTTCAATCAATCCAATCCCATTTTTCCATGAAGAAATCCCTAAAAACCAGCAAAACACCCCAGAGAAGCTGGATGGTCATTCAGGAAATATCCACGGAAAATTTCCAACCCTAGGGATGAGCTGGAGCCTCGGATCTGCTGCATTCCCAGTTCAGCTCCTGGGATACACTGGTCCACATTTCCAAGGAATTTGCCATCCTGAAATGCTGGGAAACACACCTGGATTCAATCCACATCCCAGAATTCCAAACCAATCTCCAAACTGGACCGGGATTTCTTGATTCCAGCAAATTTGAGGGGAGGAACTGAAGGCAACAGGAAAAGCAAAGTGGAGTATGGGATTTCCATGGATCCATGCATCCATAAATACCATGGAAAATGGGAATCAGACTGCCCTGAAATTAGTCTGGAATAGGGAATAAATTGAGGATATTTCCCAGAGATTATGAGGAATCTTCAGGAAAATCCAATGAGATGCACTGGAAGGGATTTTCCAGGGAATATCCAGCCCAGGGAAATATATCACTTAAAATAAATCAGGAGAAGAGGAAAAGCAGTCCCCAAACCACCCTGGAATCACTGAATTCCTATTTTCGGTGAAAAACCCTGGATTTGGGAATGCAGGGACGGATAACGCTGGAATCCATTGGCAATAAAACATGGATTAGGATAAAGGGATCCTAAAAAAGCCAGGCTTGGAAGCAGATTCCCAGGGCTGTGCCTCCCATCCCTCCATCCCATTTTTATCCAGTTTTCCAAAGGGAAAACCCCTTGGAGATGTCCCGGGATGGATTCCAAGCTTTCCTCCACATCAGAGCCCATCCAGAATCACATCCATGACTCAAAAATCCAGGAGGTGCTCCCAACCCCTCCCGAGGACATCCAGGGATCCATCCCTTCCTTGCTGATCCCAAATATTCAAGGAAACCCCATTTGACATTCCATGGATCCGCTGGGGAAAAGCCAGGGAATGACCCTGAGGGGTGGCAAATCCCAAATCCCCACGGGAACAGCACAAAACGCCACCCACGGCCCTCCAGAAATAAACAGACGTAGGAGATCCAATCCGAAGGAAAATAAAGAACTCGGCTCCCAATTTTAGGTGGATTTAAAAGGAAAAAAAAAAAAAAAAAAAAAAAAAAAAAAAAAGGGAAATTCAAAGCACAGCAGGGAAACAGAGGGAAAATCCAACTGGGTTTGAGGGAAAATCCCATTTGGATCAGGGCTTGTATCCCAGAAATGATGTTTGGGTTGTTGGCGTGTCGTGAGCCGTGATTTTGGGGTGGGAATTGGGATTGGAGGTGACCCTGGAGCTCGGGAAGAGATTCCTGAGCTCGGAAAATCCAGGAAGAAATCCGGGGAATGCCACTGCAGAGCCAAAGTGACAGCAGAGTGTCCCTGCTCGGATTAATCGAATTAACACACTCCTAATTAGTGCTCCCACCCCCCAAAAGCAGCCCTTTTCCTCAAGAATTCCCAACTGGAATACGTCATTAACCCACACCTCTGGAAGCAGAGCAGGAACCGTTCCAGGATCATTTTCCCAGGTTGCTCTCAGCATTCCCGAGGCAGAAGCCCGAGGTGCAGCTCCTCCATCTGCCCCATCCCCGTTTTCCCGTGGATGCCTCCGGCTGGGAACGTTTCCCGGGAACGCTCGCCGCTCCGTAAACCGATCCCGCCCCACCTGTCCCCTCCAGAACCCGGCTCCAGCTTTTTTTAGCCATTCCAAAGCCTCCCAGTGACCCCTTCCTGCTTTAAGCTCCGCACCAATCAGGTTTTTTGGGAAGATTCCCACCTGCTCTGGGCCACAGGACCGGGGTGGCTCCAATTCCCAAAAATATCTGGAGTGGCTGGCTGGCAGCTCTTGGAAAATCTGGCTTGGGAAGGGAGATCCCCACGGGGTTTGTTGGATGGAAGCGCAGTTGGAATTTTGGGTGCCTCGTCCGAAGGCAGCTCCATTCCCAGCATGGGATCAGCCTAAAGGAGCTGCGGGAAACTGGACCCTGGAATTGGAATTTCACAGGAGGAGAATTCCCAAACCAGCAGGCACAGGGAAAAGAGGGATGTGGGAATTGGAGGGCACAAGCAAGACCTTTCCCTCTTCCCACCAAATCAATCCCAGTGGGAGCAAGGACAACTTCCCTGGGAAAAAACAACTAAAAAGCTCCATCCAAGGAGGGCACCTTGGGAAGATCCGAGGATTTTGGGAGCATTCCCAATTCCCATCCCTCCCTTCCATAAGTCCTAAGGAAAACCCAACACTCCTTTTCCTGGTTTATGGATTTGTCCTTCAGGAAGGGCGGGAAGAGAATCCAACCCCACACAGCCACAAATGCCCTCTGTGGGATTTTCCCTGTGGAAAATCTCCCAGGAATTCCAGCCCTCAGTGCACTGATCCAGCCGTGCTCCTCATCCAGCTGCTTCCCAAGTGTCCCACTCCATGGAATTTTTCTCAAGTTCCCAGTTTCCAGGTGTTTCCAACACACCCAGACCCAGATCCTGCTCTGAGGTGTCTCCAAAAATCCCAACCAGCTCTTCCTGAAAAATTGAATCCAGGGATTTGATTTTGGAGACTGGGAAAACGGGAATAAATCCCAGCAAGGAGCTCACCCCTCCTGCTGCCATCCAAGCACACCAGCACTGAAATCCTGGGAATTCTATGAATTCCTGCTTGGCTGTTCACAATCCATCCCCATTTCCAGCTGCTGTTTTGTCGGATGGGGAGGGTTGGGAAAGGCAGGTGCTCTGCTGGCAATTCCCAGCAGGAAAATCCAAGCCCAGGCTGAGCACACCTGAACCCTCTCCTTGGAATTCTCCTCCTGCCAGAGGAGATTTCGGGAATGCCAAACCCGGAGATTCCCCCAGAGCCAAAGGAAACGACTTTTCCTCCCACAGACTCCCAAAGTTTTCCATCACCAGCACCTGGATTAGGGAATAAATCCATCCTGACTCACTCCTGCCTGTGACAACACAGTGCCCTCCCCAAGGCCAGCTCCATCCCATTTTTCTTATGGAATTCTGTGGAATATTTAAGCATCAGCTCCTCCCTTCCACCTTTGCACAGTCCAGGTTCCCCCCTCAGGGCTGGAAATCCCAATTGCAGTTGCCCCAAATCCCTTTTTTCCAGCATCCAGGCTCTCGGGAACGTTGGAATGAGCACCCAGGAGGGCTCTGGCGATGTTAGGCCTGGCTTAACCAGCAAGGAGCACTTTAGGAAGAGGAATTTAAACCCAGATTTGCTGCAAGCAGAGACTTCACCCAAGGAGAGCAGAGCCAAGAAATCAGCTGGGGCCAAGGAGCTCCGTTTTCCAGAGAAAAGAATTTGGGAAAGGGATTTTTTCCCGACTAAATCCAACCCTTAATGAATTCCCTGAGTGTTTTTAGGAATCGCTACAGAACCAAAGTTGGTCAACGTTTTGTGCAAAACAAAAGGAGCCCCAAATCCATAAAAACCGTGGGATTTTAACTCTGAATATTCCTGCAGTTCCCAGCCCGGGGCAGCATTCCCGGGAGGAATGTACAATTCCTGCTGGGCTGGCTGCCGGGGAGAACCAGGGGTTTGTGTGGGGAGCTGAGGCAGATCAATAATCAGCTTATTAATAAATAATGGGGCTAATAAATTAATAAATAACGGGGAGAGAGGCAGGCGGGGATGGGGGGCAGGGAAAAGCAGGAATTCTCCACACAATGCCCGTGTTAAAAGCTCACTTCCCAAAGATTCCGGGCACAAACGGACAACTCTCGCTCGCACCCAGCATTCCGGGGAAAATTCCATCTCCTGGATGTCACGAGCCGGAGGAAAACGCTGCTGGATGATTATTTAACATCCCTAAAGCCAGGAAAGGACACCGGGAACGGCGGAGATTTAAGGGATTCACTGTTCCCTTCCTTCCCTGCAAGTTGAAGCAGAACAAAAGCGGAGGGGACTTTTCGGGAATTCGCCTTTCCCAAAGCAACTCCAGCTCCATTTGTCCCCGTCGGGAAAGCTCCCGTGCACTCGCGGCTCTTACATAAAAACAGCGGAGGGGCTGATCCCCCCCGGCATCCCGACAAAACCGAGGTCGCCTTTGGAATTGCGAGGATTCCCATCCCAGCGGGCGGCCAGTGGAGTTGAGGGATTTTTTTCCCCGCTGGGAATTTTCGGGGGGCGGCGGCTCCGCGCCCCCCGAGCGGCTCCGTCCTGCCCGTCCCG